GTAGATTTATTTGCTTTTGTGGTTGACGATGGGAGCATCCACTCAATTGGATCTCACCTTTTGATGTTATGCATAAAAGGGAACATCCCGATGGGCTTAAACGCCACCCGACTCCTTCAAGGGTTCATCATCATTATCATCATTATCTTCATCGTCTTCATCTCTGTACACACCACTTTTTATTGGTTTGCTTGTGTGTTCCTCTGACATTGATATTGAGCGACCCTTGGGTTACTAATACTGTGGGAACGAATCTGATTTTTCACGTCAGATGTCCCCCCAGCCCGTAATACTAGTATTTTCCTTCGTTTTTAACTCGTGAATTGCGCGCATGCGCAAGAGCGAGTTGTAGATTCGATGTGGGGAATGGCGCTCGATTGGTTGATTCCTGTAAACGTTTTTTCGATTTTAGGCTTTTGAGTTCATCTGATAGTTGAGTAACAAACAAACGAAATGGCGACCTTTGTTGCTAAGAATAGTGGTGGGGTGAATAAGAAGCCAATGATAATCTTAAAAGAGTTTTAAACTGTACGTTTTTCATCCGTGAATTGAAGTTTGCCTAATCTCCGAATACACTTTTGTCCCTCGCAGCGTATATTTCATTTATGGCGTCAATGCTTCTATTTTTCAATGTATATGTGCAGGAAAATGATAATTATGTCCGAAAAAGAAAACGAAGAAAGGAAGTTAAACAAAACGAAAAAAATAACTGTTATGCTGAGGATTTGATCCATCTACATTTTCGTATAAGGAAAAGATTCTATGACGGCGGCATTACCGGCATGGCCAAATTAGGGAAGAATACTTTACGTATTAAAAAGTGTTGCATGTAAAACGCTGACATTTCGGTTACTTCCCCCGCGGGCTCTAAATAATCGATTCGAGCTGCTCGCCGAGAATCCGATATTGAAGTGTCGCTCGCGGCCAACTGCTCGTTAAGTGAGTTGGTGAAGACTGTGTTTGCTATTCCTGGAGCTGTATCGATGTTGGAAAGTGATTCATAAAGTTTGAGCCCACGAATGGCTTAGTGAATGTTTCTGGACTGGAGTCGTTCATTGTTGTGAGGAAAAGCCTTCGTGCCATTGTCCAGGTAATCACTTACAGTTTGTAGGTTAAACGATAAAAAGTTTTTCATGGATATCCTCGATCATGGTTTATTTTTTTCTAAAAAAAAAAAATTGGAATTAATAGATCGCCAGTACTTCGGCTGTCCTCGGGAAGTGCTCATAAAGTCACCTGACAGGTTGGGTAGAATGTTTGCGTTCGCCATTTTATAAATTATGGACCTGGCTACTACGCAGTGGGCGCCTTCGTGAGTGAAGATGTTTGTAATCAGTCCCCGGTGTATCCAGGGACAGCAAAATCAGTAAAACCGTCGTCTAGCCAGGGTTACTCTGAAGGCGATGACAAGTACCAGGCGTGTTTTCAGTACGTTGATGTCCCCGCTCGCTGGGGTTACGCCATAACTATGGAAAGCGAGAAAGCCAAATACAAACAAATCAAAGCAAAGTACAAGCAAATCAAAGCCAAGTACGAGCAAATAAAAGCCAAATATGAGCAGGTAAATGCCAAATTTGAACAAATCTCCAGATCTACCAACCAGACATGTGAGTGCAACACAGCGGGAACTGACCAGCATGCTAAAGATAAAACCAAATTTAACGACCGGGAAACTCTGCTGAGAATACCAACTGATAATTCAGTTGAATATCGTGATTCACTAAGTCATGAAATTATGAAAAGCAGAATGTCAAGGACCACGGTTGACGTTTGTACATGTACACGGAGGTTGCTCTGTAGAAGGAAACGTGAAAGAATTCAATATAGGAGAGTCATCAACCTGTTCAGAAAACAAAAGTTTTCCGAAATGCAGCTAAATCATACCTTAAAAAAAGCATTCCGAGTTCATCTAAACTAAAATTTTTGCTGTTTGAGCGTAATCGTGGTTATTTCAGTGAACGGTTAGTCAGATCTAAATTTGTATTACCCTCAAAAAAGTTCTCTCTCAGCCAAAATGTGTACCCATCTGTTGTGCGACTGCGAACATGAAAGCATTAAAAATTGCCCTTATTTTGCATGCGTGTTGACGGGAGAACGTTGAAGAAATTAAAACACATTCCGTTCGAAACTTACTTTGTATCTCACAGAGTCATCTCTCTGAGTGGCGATGTTGAAGAGAATCCAGGGCCATCAAATCAATGCAGTGCAACCAATACTTGTAATTTAGCAGCATATCGTTCCTCAATGGCTAATTCAGTTTCATTATTGGAAACTAGGTTGTCTGAATTAAATAGAACTGCAGTTGATGTTGGGGGAGGTGGTGACTGCTTTTTTCGAGCTGTTTCACATCAGCTTTATGGCAATCCTAATAACCATCCTCATAGAATTACGGTCAACTCGCCGACGGACCAACTCGCCGACGCCAACTCGCCGACGTATAAAATCGAGTAGGGACGTCGGCGAGTTGGTCGTCAATCCAATACAACTTATTAGAAGTTAAACATACAGAAAATTAAACGATATTTAGTTAAAAAACACTGGTGAATATTGGTGAACATCAAACAGAAGCTTAAACATTGGTGAACATTGGTGAACATTATATTACTGAGGCTTTGCAGTAATTTCCCTTTGGACGGACGGTACATTGCCAATACGTCGCGTAGGGCCGCCTGGATGACACGTTATATGTGAAGCCTTGACTGTCAATCAACCTCGCTTTCTTGCGTTGGCTTCCTTCTCTTACGATGTTCAACGATAATCCCACGGCCTGGGAATCTGCAATAGATAAATCATCATTAACTTTCTAGATTGGTGAAATATTAAGGAATTACGCGATTTTTTTTGTTCGCATTTGTGTGGTTGGATAAGTTGAATCATCTGCTTACTAAATGTATAACATACACCTACCATTGATGGAACTTGGCGTGGGATCATCAATAGAAGTTTCTCCAAGGCTAGCATTCTCTTGACCTAAGCTGGATGACAGATAAAAAATAGTCAAATGAGAGAAATAAAACCAGTGAATTGCAAGCTACTTTGTGGGATTTCGTCCCTAAAAGCATCAGCTGAAGATTACACTGGGATACCATTAGCTTGTAAAGTAAAAATTAACAGCTGTAAATCGGCTTAACTACCTACCTATCAAATTCTCATTTTCGCAGGCTTTATGTTGCCACATACAGTGGTTATCCAACCATCCAAGAAACCAAGCATCTTCACTGTCAACGACGGGCGTGTTACAAACCATGCAGACTGGATTATCAGACATTTGGGAGTGGATTTCTCGTAATCATAGACTTGCTAACGCAGTTTAATGGAGTCCTCAAAACATACACTGCCTTTTATATCATTGTACCGGATCAAAACTTTCCATTGGTTAAATTTGATTGGATGATATTTACAACAACAAAAGAAAATTTAGAACAATGCGCTTCGTGAGCACGAAAAACTGAATAATCTCTTCCCTCAATTTTTTAGCAGGAGCTGAGATTTTTTTCGCATAGTCATGTTCTGCTTGTTTCTTTTTTTTTTTTGCTCAACAGGTTACGTGTATATTCAACACGTCACTGACGCTGTCAGATTCATCTTCCAAATTACTGGGCAATCAAATTTCGCGCTACGAAAGTTATCTGTACCTGTCTTTTTTTTCTCCAAAAGAGAATATAAAACAAAAAAAAAATTCGTAACTTCTCCATTGTGAGACTTGT